GTGGTAGATATGACGAAGAACATGAATGAACGTGCATTTTACTCTTAGGTATATATATACACGCAAGAGAAATTAAAGCTCACATCTCCACAAAAAAATGTTAGTAAATGGTAGAACAGGCTTTGAACCCAGGCAGTCTTGTAGCTTCGGGGTTGACGCTGTGTTACTTGTTACGCTATGTTTGCTTCTTGGGACTACATCAGCGTATTGAGTTTTAGAACCTGGTTCATACTAGAAAGGAAACTCCACTGCGACACTAAGGTTCACTTACTGCTTCTCTCCGCCTCCGCTCTTGCTCCCTTTTCCTCGCTAAATTGCGGTCAATGAGAAGCTGGAGTCTGGATTCCTCTCGAGTTTTCCATGATTGCTTATGCTTTTTCTTCTCTTCGGGATGACATTTGTTTTGCATTGTGTTTGAAAATGACTTCCGAGTCCACCCATTACCAAGGTACCTGGAAGAAACAAAATACAGCTTGAGGTCTCATCAAAGTTTTTATTACAGAGCTACATTACTAAATAGCTCTGTACAAAAAATCATGTTCTCAATCTCTTTTCTCACATAATCTGATAGTTTTGTTTTCTTTTTGCTCTGTCAAATTTTACGTAGGAAAACCTATATTCACAAAGAAAAAGATTTGGAAAACTGTGACCAGAGTACTCCTCTTGCTTCTTAGCTACAAAGCAACATTAAGACATTCAGGGGGAAATAAGTGTATTTTTTACTTTATAATTTATTACTAAAAAAGGATGTCCTATTTGACAGAAGGTCAGAAAACAAACAAACAAAAATGAAACCCTTAATTAGCTGGATAGACACATCGCCACAACAATAGTCAAACGTCTCAGTGATTATAGATGCACCACAGGACCAGGCAATGGTTCACTCTGTATACCTAAGGTTGGCATGCATCAGACAGTCAATGGCAACTGATAACATTAATATTTTTAATAGCTTAGCTAAATATACTTGATTACTTCTATCCTTTTCAAAGCAGATATTATTCTTTTAGCAATTATAATTTGCTCTACTAATATAGCTGAATCATAGTCACTTGACAAACTTTTAAAAAATTTTTAATCATTTTATTGGGGGCTCATACAACTCTGATCACCATCCATACGTACATCCATTGTGTCAAGCACATTTGTACATTTGTTGCCATCATCATTCGCAAAACATTTGCTTTCTACTTGAGCCCTTGCTATCAGCTCCTCATTTTCCCGCTCCCCTCTTCCTCATGAACCCTTGATAATTTATAAATTATTATTTTGTCATATCTTACACTGTCCAACGTCTCCCTTCATCCACTTTTCTGTTGCCTATCCCCCAGGGAGGAGGTTGTATGTAGATCCTTGTGATCGGTCAAAAGGTGACAAACTCGAAATTTAATATACACGGCAATAGCTCCCAAGGTCCAACCCAGTCAAGACACTTACCTGTGGCTTTCTTGAGCTGTGTTCAGTTCTGTGTTCTGCTCCAGGTGCTTTTGCATTGACTCTTGAATTGGAGCTTTTTCTTTCTTGTCTAGTGCTGCTTGTCTAAACTGATTGAAGAGCTCATCTGTTGATTTCTGTACATTTGATGTTTTGACATGTTTGCCTAAACTCTTCCAAGAGTCTGGATTCTTAATCTCGATGTCCTAAAAGAAACAATTGAATCAGTGTATCGCTACAGATGTCACTCAAATTTTGGAAGGAGGACAATCGTTTTTGATCCAGGAATAGATACAATTAAGTTTTAAAAGGTCCTGATATATTTTTATTAAAGTTAGAGGTCACTAAAGTCAGAAAAACAAGTATTAGAACAGATCATCTAAACAGAATTCATCAGTGATTGAATAAAAGTATGTTTGCCAATTATTTTAATTTGGTGTAAAGATATACAAGGGGCTTCAAAAAGCTTTTGGGAATTTTTCATTATCTTCTAATTCCATTTCTTCCATGAACTTGTTGAAGTCCCTATATATTAAGTGCACTTGGCAGAAACTACTAGCCATCACTGTAATCAAGATATTTATGACCATGTCGGGAGAACAAATCACTATTAATATTAAGAATAATCATGATACATTTTGAAGTGACCTTGCACTTCCAGAAGAACAAACATATCTGACCCAGAGGAAGTACAATCAGAATGTTCCTTGGGAGCAAGGAGGATGGGAGTGCAGCTCACATGCCTAGGCACGTTTCCAGGAGGGACCCGTGTTTTGAGAAGGACAGCATGCTTGTCGCTCAGCAGAGAGTTAGCAGACAAGAGGGAGACTTTGGAGGAGACAGACAGACACAGAAGTGGCACAAAGGCACTAGCAGGGACTACTCTGAGCCGTGTGGCGTCAGTCTGCGGCACATAGCGGCTATGGGTTGGAGCTGACTGCCTGTCACTGCACATTTTATCCCCTCCCGCCGGCTGACTGCCACCTCATTTACTCAATATATTCTATATGAGCAATATTGAGTGGTAACTGATGTATCTTAAACGGCTAGAACATCTGCTGCCTGATATTTGGTACACTTACGCGTTTGTTAGAAAACCCTCCGAGCCTGATCCTAACACGTGGTTTTATGACATGCTCTCAGATTAGGGTGATTGGCAAACAGCGACATTATGGAGAATTTGTTATTGCAAAAGCATGGGGTATGAGAGACAAACTTAGGTGTAAGCATACAAAATCTCTTCTAAATTAGGGCTCACTACTTCCTCATAGAGCAGTTTGGCCAAGCAAGAATTTGTGATAAATAAAGGACTTAAAACACAGGCATTTTTATAGACTTCAAAAGAAGACCCTGCTGAAATTTAAGTTTTCCTGTGAGTGGATTTTGGAAGACCTCAATTTGGGGTGGAAACAGACGTGTCTCTGATATAACCATGCACGACAAGGTGGAGAGCAGCTCAATCTGTTATTCTTACCGTCTTTCCAGGAACTAGGCAGTCAGGTGCCCTCGCAAATGTCTTCATGGTTGAGTTTTGGTGAGCTTCACCTAGATGGGAAAAAAAATTATAGTATAACCAAGATGTGTTTCTCCGAAATTGGATTCCTTTAATCATTTTTCTGAGTTGGGCTCTTGATTTGCTACAAAATAAGCATTTGCTAAGGATTTTGATTGTTGTGCGAGCATGAACTGTGGCCCATTCACTAGAATCCTATAAGCTTACAAAGTATTGCTACAAAAGCATAGAAAACTACTAAACAAAAGCATCAAAGTGGCCACCAGGGAGCTTCAATAAATAGTATAGTAGATACTTTGTTTTACTTTTCCCTCTGGGTCAGATAGGGAATCCTGGTGGTATCCTGAGTGGGTTACCCTTTGGGCTGGCTAACTCCAAATCAGCAGTTGAAAACCACCAGCCACTCCAAGGGAGAAAGAGGAGGCTTTGTCCTCTAGGAAAGAGTCACTGCCTTGGAAACCTACGGGACGGTTCTACCCTGTCCTGCAAGGTTGGTATGAGTCACAACAAAACTATTTTTAAAGCTATTTTACACTGCTCAATTCACAAAACCTCCAAACAGCAGATTTTGGCATCCTCAAGGATGTTTTGCAAGTTTGGGGAACAAAAAAATCTGAAGAGACAAGATCCTGCTTATAGGATAAATGTGGTAGACAAGATACCCCTGTAAGAGTCTCATAGAAGAGTCCTTGCTAGCCTCCAGCAGGTGCATTGTCACGGTAGACAAACCTCCTTGGTGTACTGTTCGTGACCTCCTTTTCAGGGGTTCGATTCTTAATCTCTTTATAATCTCTTCCTAATAAGCTCCTAGAATCTCTTGCGCCTCCTTCAAAATCATCCCCTCAAAACAGCCTCTATAACCTTCTAGCTGACCCTCTGCCATGAATTTTACTGGCCTGGCAGTTAAATTCCCCGAGAAACCACTGTTTTGATTAGACCTTGTTTTAAAGGGGCCATAAAAGACTAAGACAAGTGTGTTACTGGGAGACCGTGCCACTGGCCATTCACTGATGACTGATGGCAGAGATGTGTTTAAAGATGAAGCCCTGGAATGACAAGACGTTCCCTCTTATGGCAGATATTACATTTGGATGATGGTGCTCCCATTTCCTACCAGTAATCTCATTTAGGAAAGAGCAGGCCCCCAAGGACTTCCAGAGAAAGATGCTTCCTGGGGGCCAATTTGGCCACAGAGGCCACACAGAATAGATGAAACGTGGATATGGTTTGTTGGACCATCCACACTGAAGACAACAAGCCACCCAAGCCTATTATAGCGGCAGAAGCTTCTAGTCAACTATTTAATCTTTTACTGTGAGAAAAGAAAGTACAGACCTAAAGCCTGAACCTTAGTCAAATCCCACTTAAACGACTGACCTGCCTTCGGACTACTAATTAAGTATACCAGCAACACTACTTTTAAAGCCAGTTTGAGCTGAGTTTTCTCATTTGAGTTTTCGTTTGCAATCAATTCTCTCTTGTCTTTGCCTAGCTAGTAGCAACATATCAGAGAGGATCAATCAAACACTTAAGAGTTTCTACATTTGTTAATTAACTCTTAAAGAGTCTGCATCAGTGACTTAGTAACAATAAACAGATGCCAAAACTTTGCTTGCTGAGAGCAAGGAGGACTTGAAGCACTTGGTGATGAAAATCAAGGATTGCGAGCTTCAGTATGAATTAGACAACTCAAGGGAAAGACCCAAATTCTCACAACTGGACCAATACATGAAAGAAAAGTTTGAAGTAGTCAAGGATTGTGTCTTGCTTGGATCCACAATCAATACTCATGGAAGTAGCAGTCAGGAGATCAAAAGGCCCATTGCAGTGGGCAAATCTGCTGTCCAAGGTCTCTATAGGGTGTTGCAAAGCAAGGATCTCACGTTGAGAACTAAGGAGCATATGACTCAGCCATGGTATTTTCAACTGCTCCAAATTCATAAGGAAACTGGATAATAAGTAAGGAGGACTGAATAAAAATGGATGTATTTTAATATGGAGCCACTGGAGAATATTGAAAGTGCCGTGGGCTGCCAGAAGCAGCAGCAAATCTGTATTGACAGGACAGCCACAATGCTCCTGAGAAGTGAGTCTGAAAGGGGCTCATCTTCTGTATGTTAGACATGTTCTCGGGAGAGACTAGACCTGAGAAAGGATCATCATGCTTGGTAGAGTAGAGGGCCAGCATAAAGATGGACCGGCACAGGGGCTGCAGGGTGCCACGGCAGCGGCCAGTGTTTCCTCTTCTTGTGGGCGGGGCTGATCTGAGTCAGAACTGACTCAATAACATGTAACCATAACAGCATGTTAAAAATAAATAACTTCCATGTGTTGTAAACAATACTGTTTGATAGTGTCCATGTTCTGTGTCTATTTTATAGCTTATTCCCTTGGGTTTAGCACCTGCCCTATGGCGGTTTCCGGGACCATCTTTACAGGAGCAGACAGTCGCATCTCCCCACCGCCAAGTGGAACGATCCAACCAGACCTTAGCACTGTCCCCAGGGCTCCTTACTAACCACTGGAGATGCAAATAAAAACAACCACAGTGCATCTAATGGTGAGGGGGCCTCAGAAAAATCCGTGGAAAACCAGAATTAAATGATGAGTGGCTCTTTTCCATGGACTTTTTATTTTACTAGGGGGATCTTCACAATCGTGGATTGCATTCAATTGCATTAAGCACACTTGTAAATATGTTGCCATCAACATTTCCAAAACATTTTCTTTCTACTTCAGCCCTTGGTATCAGCTCCTCTTTTTCCCCTCCCTCCCCCACCCTTCATGAACTTTTTGAAGTCCCCTTGTATCATACCCCTATTGGAATGGCAATTTCTGTTAAAGAGGGGACGGTAGGAACAATAACCGTTGGTGGGAATGTAAAGTGGTACAGCCAATGTGTGAGAGCGTTTGGCAATTCCCCAGAAAGGTGAACTCAGAATCACCATGAACCAGCAATTCCAATCCTGGGTGTACACACACGGAAGTCACACAAGCAGACCTGTTCACTGAAGCACTTCTCACAACACTGAAGAGGTAGCACAATCGAAATGCTCAACAACTGGGCGTGTATGGGCAATAAAATAAGACTAAGAGACACAAAGTCCTGAGACATGCCAGTGTATGACTGAAACGTGGAAACGCAGTACTATGACCTGTGTTCTCACTCAGATGCCCGTGGGCAGGGCCACCTACCGTTACCAGGCAAATCAACTTTGGTGTTTGAAAACCTTGCTCACTGCGGTAAGAGAGTTGCCATCTTATTACCACCTAAGCACTCCCTTCAGTTTCCAGTTTCCAGAGTGGGCAACACTGCCCTCTGGGGGAAGATTCACGGGGGTGCAAGAGCATCGACCTGAGTTCTGAATTCTTTATCCTGAATTCAATGACAATAGATTTGTTTGGATGGGTTACACTGTAAAAGTTTTTAACTGCCATGGGGCACTGAATAATATACACAGGATGAATGGAAACAGGAAACACCAGAAGGAAGTGGGATGAATTCCAAAATTAACTCAAAACCATGTATGGCAAATCATGTATTCTCTCTATGAACACCCAGGAACCGTGGTCCCTAGATGGTTCAAACTCAGCACAAGTCTCTCTTGTACTGTCCCAAAGGAGAACAGAAACGGCACAAGCCCAAGGCCTAATGCTAATTCCTGCTTGGTAAATGACTCTCCAAACCCCAAATGAACATCGCTTTTATTTGATCACTTTTCTTTTGTGTTTTTTTACAACAGGAACTCTCATCAAGCGTCTGATGAGAGCGGAACTATCCAGACTGAGAAACTGAGCACGCCGGTCCATCTTCCTGCCCCCATTTTAAACATTTCAAATAGAGGTCAGCGTAGTTTGTCAATTTCTCAATCACGGTAGTTTGTCAATTTCTTACATGAAGGAGGCAGAGTTTGGCGAGGTGAAGTGTGCCTTGACCGCGGTGATGGCTGTAAGGCTTCATGATTTGGTTGTATCTCACATGGATGTGTGGTCTGATGAAGAGAGGTCTCTTTCGTAGAAGACTGTACCTGCGAAGACAAAGTAAAACCATTCAATTTAAACCACAGACGGAAATTAACACCGATAATCTGCATAGAAAAAGAAAGAGGGGGCTGGCTAGTAGTTGGGATTGGGGCTGGCCCCTCAGGCCTCCTTATTGGTTCCCAGCTTCACGCAGGTATATGGGCTTGCCCCACTCTTCCCCCCCAAAAATCACTTCAGAACTGAATTCTGCGGCTGAGAGCACTGAAGCTGCAGCTCAGGGAGGGGCCAAGTCTGATCACAGCACGTGGGAACAAATGAAAGGGGAGGAAGAGAAAGTGGAGCGCATCCTGGCCCACCAAGCCTTGAGGACAAGATTCTCGCTCAGAGCAGCCAATGCAGAGAGGACCATATGGCCGGACCATCAGGAGACACAAAAGATGTCCCTCACCGACCCATAGCGCTACCGGGATGACACTGAAGACACAGCGCGGGAATTGCACCCCATCTGACCCCACCACACGGAGCCGAAACACTAAGAGCATGCAACGGAACAGCAAGGGGAGCAGAGCAATGAGGTCCTCGGAGAATACCAAAAATAGACTTTGGGACCAGGGCATGGCAGCCCATCAGACTCAACCAGACAATACTCATAAAGGCCAACAAACAGACCTTGAACTATTTACATGCGTTTCTTTGTCATCGGTTTGTTTTCCTTTGTTGCTTTGTTTTACGCTGTCATGTTTTTGTGCATATTATTATATCTGCATGTCTATCTAGATAAGATAGTAGGGATAAACTCACTGGAGGAGAAACCAATGGGACCGACAGTTGGGGGGAAGGGGCATGGGAAAGGGAGAGGCTGGGAGAAGGAAGTGGGTTTTAACAAACCCAGGAATAAGGGAACAACAAACAATCTAAAATAGATGGCAAGGAGGCTGTAGGAGGCCTGGTAGGGCTTGATCAAGGGTAATGTAACCCAGAGGAATTACTGAAACCCAAATGAAGGCTGAACATGATAGTGGGACAAGAGGAAAGTCAAAGGAAATAGAGGAAGAACTAGGAAGCAAAAAGCATTTATAGAGGTCTAAATACAGGCATGTACATATGTAAATATATTTATATATGAGGATGGGGAAATAGATTATGTGCATATACTTATATGTTAAATATTAAGGCAGCAGATGGACACTGGGTCTCTACTCAAATACCCCCTCAATGCAAGAACACTTTGTTCTATTAACCTGGCATTCCATGATGCTCACCTTCCCAAAAGAACAACGAAAAAAAAAGTGGGAGCATAAGCAAACGTGGTAAAGAAAGCTGATGGTGCCCGGCTATCAAAAGATACAGCGTCTGGAGTATTAAAGGCTTGAAGATAAACAAGCAGCCATCTAGCTGGGCTTTGAGATCAGCTCTAGAGACCATCCCTCTTTCTTTGCCACGCTTAGGAAGTGGGCTTGGGGTGGGTTCAGTAATCCGGCACCAAACCCAATGACACCCAGGCACTTCCACGGCTACTTTAGTAGGAGCTGTATTATAATGATAAACATTTGTGTGATGCTTACTATGCATGAGCTATCCCTTAGGCTATGGGTTTTATTATTTTTCTTTAAAAATCCGTAGTATAAGTATATCCCTATTTGTAGTATATAAACGGATGTAGGAATGCAAAAGTAACTTGTCTTAAGATCTCACAGCTGGCAAGCTAAATCATATCAAAGTCTAGGTATCTTATGCAATAGGACTGTTTTTCCCTCGATTTACAAAGGGGCTGCAGATGAGTGAGTAAACAAGTCATATCATGTGAAAACTCACTGCCATCGAGTCAGCGCTGACTCACCGCGACTCCCTGTGGGCTTCCGAGACAGTAACAGTTTACGAGAGTACAACGCCCAGGGTTTCTCCCTCAGCACTGCCAAGGGTTTCAAACTGCCACCCCTGTGGATTGCAGCCAATGCTGAGCGACAGACATATATCACATGTATAGCACCCATATATCACCTACATCATATACAAGCTATATCACCTCTATACTATAAAGGTTTGTTACTTTTGCAATGTAAAATATATACTGTAGGTGATATATCAACTACCTATGCCAACCTGATGAAATAAATCCCATCAGAATCTTTCTCCCAACAATGACAATTACATCGTATTAGAAAAATGATGCTAAATAGTTTCTCTACTGAATCTTCTTTAAGAAGTCTTTGAACACTGAGTTTTCACATTGCAAAAGTAACAAAACGGTTCATGTATCGAAAGCTACCGCTTACCTCGGAGTTTCAACAGATATTTTTAACGTTTAAAGTAGTAAAGAATAAATAGTAAAGAATGTACTTACCGTTATATTCTCTTTAGAAGAATCTTTCTGTTTTTCTGCGGTAGATGTAGGCAATAGCTCTGCAAACAGATATAAAAATGTATTTCAAGATTTGCCAGCTTAAGAATCGTCTTAGAGTTTGGGCCCTCTCTAGATTAGTCAACATTTCTAACATTCCACAGACACAAATTTAAAAATGTTTGTGACAAGATGTATCACTTTTTCTAAGGCCCAACCATGTGCCTCAACGTATGCTTTTTTATTAAGCCAGCTTCCTTTAATTTTCTCTAGGTTTAGTAAGCACAATTCTTGATGAGGCGCTAATTGGCATTAAATCATATTTTAAATGATGGATCCATTTGTCTCCAGTTGACTAGTTTGAATGGCATAGACTATTCTAAGGCTGTCCTTGCGTACTTCCTGAATTAACTAAAAAGCGTGAAATAATCTAGGCTTGAGCTAGGTTAGTCCTTTTGGTCTTGGATGACAGGGGCCAAAATCGCATTCTCCTCTCTTCTACAGAAGCCTGAACAATACACTAATGCTAATAAAAGTCCAAAGGATAAGGTGAGAAATTCATTTTAAATCTTAGGCCCGTAAAGAAAAATGAGTTGATGCCAGGACATTGAATCTCTTTGTGTTTAACTGTTTAACCGTTAAAATTGAATATCTCCTGGAAAATATGCTTTCACACTAACATGAGCTAACAGGATTATTATAGCTATTACAGCTATTCTTCACTACTGACAATCTTCTCATCCAACAATTTACATCTACAATGGAAAGAATTCTATTATTCCAGGTAATGAATCAACTTTACTGAGCCATGATGATCAGTGGTTTGGCCGTTCTATAATATAATGTATTTTTTTGGTGTAGTTGTTCTCTATTTGTGATATGAGGAGGTCATCCTTTATTTTCAAATGACACTGATTTGTGCAAAATAGCCTGGTCTTAAAATCTAACTGCGTTCAATCAGTGAGGAGTGGGTATAGCTATGCCCTAGCGCATCTCTTAAGAAGTTACTGGGCTCTGGGAAACTTTCATAGCTTGTATGTTCATACTGGCAGGGGCTAGCCAACAGGTGCCTCTGGAACGAATTTTAGTCTCAAGCCTCATTAACACCTTTGATCTGACATTTAATTATATTTTGAAAGGGTTTTATATTTATACCAATATTTAATAAATGTTCTTGACTTCTCTGCACGTGACTATTTGCATATCCTGATGCCAGTCAAAAAGATAATTAAATGATAAAATTAAATTACATTGAAATTTGTAATAAAGTGCTGTGTCTAGCTTACATAGTTCTCATTTTTATTTTTCATAGGCTTTGGATTTCATCTTAACTCTTCCATAAAACTGATTTAATGTGTTGTTTGAAAATGATGAGAATTACTTACTATGAATTTTCTATATTTTAAAATAAACCTTTCCTTAGAAATCAATGCTCTGTAGAATGGATTAATCCGTAGTTTTAAAAATCACATAATCTTGGGTTTGGAACTACATTAAAGGTAACAGCGTAAGTAATATGGAATAAAGAGTCCTAATGGTACTGATAGTACACTTAAAAATGATTTCAGTATTGTCTAACTCATAATTTAAAATAACTCTAAGGGCAACAAGTCAATAATAACAAGGAATTTAGAAAAGTCCACCTAGAGCTGAAAATCAGTAAACTAGATTAAAAAAACTGTGTCTAACTCAATGACTCAGAAGCTTCCTCTATGAGAAAAGATAAAAATTACGTATTCTAAGAATCAATATGATATTCAGCTGTTAGTTTCTGTTCTGGACAAAGTCACCTGGTAAAAGATTCCTTTACTACAGTATCTATTTTAAGAAAATATTAAAATTGTCTACATGTGATTAAATACTAAGTGTGACATCCAAATGACAGGTTCTGGGTAAATAACAAATATTTCTTTAAAATGTTAAGTCTCGGTATTAGAAGAAAAGGATTCCCTCGAGCAGATGAACGGTTTGGGAGGCAGCTGACCTGATTCAGAATCACTACTGTCTGAAGCACTGGAATCACTGCTGCTGCTGTCAGACCCTGAGGAGGAGGAGCTGCTGCCGTCAGACCCTGAGGAGGAGGAGCTGCTGCCGTCAGACCCTGAGGAGGAGGAGCTGCTGCTGTCACTCAGTCGGGACACACTCACAATCGCAGGGGCTGATTGGCTTTTCTCAGCTACAAGACAGAAAAGCACATTCAGAACCAAGTAAAGTTAACTAGTAAACCAGTAAAGTTAACTAGTAATAAACCAGTAGAGTTAACTAGTACACCAGTAAAGTTAACTAGTAGCAAACCAGTAAAGTTAACTAGTAGTAAACCAGTAAATTTAACTAGTCTCAGGAACATCTACTTAGAAGCCAACACTTACCTTCGGTTTGGCTTTTTCCAGAACTTAACCGATCATTGACACCCATTAACTGTTTTTCCAATTCCTCCTGTCTTTTTGGAGGTGTGGGTTCTTTGGAATTCATTGTTTTCTTGGCTGTGTAATTTAGGAGAGAGGAAAACAATGTATAACCAAGCACTAACACATATCGCACACTGATTATAGAAACACAATATAGAGAAATACATACCATGAGCTTTCCGTCGTTGTCTTCTTAGACACGCTGCAACGTATTTTTCTAGTTCTCTCAATGTTGATGTTTTCAGTGCTTCAATGTCCACCTCTAGCTCATCAGAGTTGGCGCTTCTCAATGCAGGCTCTCTTAACTCTATTATACGAACGATTTGCTTCAGTTGATCTCCAGGAACTTTGTTGATATCTAAAGTTAACTGCCTTTTCTCATCATAATTCATGGGTTTAGCATCATCTTCAGATGTCAGAGCAGAAACGTGCTGTTTCTTCTTTGGTTGGCTGTAACAAAAATTACACTTAGTCTTTTTTTATTTGAGATAGTAGCATGTTTTAACAAGCCACCATACCTGTTTTAATAATCCAAATTACCTGTTCTTGGAATTTTCATTTAGTTTTATTTGCTTAAACTCTTCCCTTGGCTTTTCATCTCTGTTATTAAACTTTCCTTTTGTCTTTTCTTTTTTAGACTTCTCATTTTTTTGCTTATGGTCAGAATCCTGGGACAGAACTTGCAGTTGCTGATGTAAAGTTTTAACCTAGAAAAGGAAAAGGTCTTTAAACATTTATGGATCCAAATAATTTAAGACACTAGATAAAAATCAAGGTACTCAAAAGTTCAGAGTATCTCTGTGAAAGTCACATTACATTTCTTTCAAGTTATTTCATTTCCCTAACTTGTTATTTTGAAATGAATATATTAAATGACACACACTATCATGTACTCAACCCATAGATATGAAGACAACAAACATTTAACAGAACAAAATAATTAACCTTACCTGGTAGTCTTAGTTTGAGCTCATAACAGGTTAACATTTTATCACAACAGGTGGCAATTTTAAAATAACGATTTCACCCATAAAAGATCTTAGGCTGTGTCTTATAAGTTGTTTTAATATTTACCACAAATTATTATGATTAAGCATATAAATAACAGGATTAACGACATAAACTTTTAGTAGGTAAATTAAGTAAGTTGCTAAGTGAACTAAATACCATGTCTTATTCTACAAGAACAATTTTATAATTGATCTCTCAGTAGCAGCTCATAGAAAAGAATATCAAAGTTTGTATCAATACAAATACCTGCTCCTGAAGTTTCACAATATTATTGTTATAATTACTAGAAGAGTCACTATTATTTTTTCCACCAAGTGCTTTTGTGTTTTCTGTTTTGACGTAACATTCAAGAAGTTCATCTGGGATCTTTGCAAAATGCATTTCAAAAACATTCTATAATAGAAAAAAAATCAGACTGTGAAGATTTCCTGCATTTTTGATTAACAGAGGGAATATTTCAGCATCAGAGTTTAGTCAGAATTCCTGTGCCCCACACCCTCAAAGATAAATCATTCTTCTAGCTCCTAATGACTCATATTCAAAACTCCACGACCTTACTTTCTTTTTTTAAATCATTTTTTTGGAGGCTCGTACAGCTCAACACAATCCACACATTCATCCATTGTGTCAAGCACATTTGCACATTTGTTGCCATCATCATTCTCAAAACCTTTGCTTTCTACTTGAGCCCTTGGTATCGGCTCCTCCTTTTTCCCCTCCCTTCCCCCAGGAATTCTTGATAATATATATATTATTTTGTCATGTCTTACACTGACCGATGTATCCCTTCACCCACTTTTGTTGTCTGTTCCCCAGGGAGGGGGTTATATGTAGATCACTGTAATCAGTTCTCCCATTCTCCCTCCACCTTTCCCTTGCCCTCCTGGTATCGCTACTCTCATTATTGGTCCTGAGGGGTTCATCTGTCCTGGATTCCCTGTGTTTCCAGCTCTTGTCTGTACCAGTGTACATGCTCTGGTCTAGCATGGCCTTACTTAGACATGGACTCCAGTCAACCCTATCTGACATATCAACTGTGTCCCCTCTGCACTAATAGTTCTCCAATCTCCTTAGTATCCACTCATTAAAATATTTGCTAGCAAAATGTTTTAAAAAAATTAAGACATGAAACTCAAAAACCCATGGTTTAAAGAGTATAACTTCCCAAACTGCTGTTTACTAGTTGGGCTTGGGAATGTGCCTATATTTATTCTTTATCCCTCAATTTGTGGTTCTAAAATTCTAAATTATGTTCCATGGAAAACACTTTCAGAGCACAATACCAACTTACCTGGAGCATGCTCGCCATTTTCACTACTTCATGATCTACAGGATTATATTGGTAGCAATTCATGAACATCAATCTAACATCTGCAGCAAATGCAAAGGCATCCACATATTCTTGGCTGTCCATTTTTTGCTAAATAAAGGAAAATTACAGAAAATCCAAACAATGTAGTTCAATTCAATATTGAGTTCAGCACTTATATTTTGAAATAATTTAAACATACAAAAAAGTACTTTAAAAATCCCACAATCCAAATTTGACAAATGTCTAAATTCTTATACATTCATTGAGCACCTTGAGACTTTGAAAATCCCAGTGTTTTGACAAGGAGGCAATCCCAAAAAACAGCGTTTTTAGATCGTCTTGAGTAGACATGCTTTACAGTAGGGCAGCAGTTCACAGATGAACCCTTACCCCCACCTCAAACATCAAATGAAGGATTATGGTTTTAAGAAAAAGATTCCCAGCAGTAAGAGGTGGAAACCAGTATTTCTAAATTAGTATTTTATAAAGTACATAATTTTGAATAGCTATGTCTCCAGCTCTCACGACCCTTGGTGCCAATGAATATTCACGTATTTGAAACTAGGGTCTTTGAAGATGTAGCTAGCACGAGGGTACACTGGAAGAGAGTGTCCTCACCCAGCGTCTGAGGCCCTTTTAATTGAGGAGAGGGGAGGTAAAGCCAAGTGAAGACTGGGGCAGAGGCTGGAGTAATGCAACCAAGGAACATTAAGGATTTCAGGAATCACTAGGAGCTAGGATGTGTTAGAAAGACTATTTTTGAATGTTACCAATCATACATTTCAGGTGCTATGACTATCTTAATGAGCTTCCTCTGATTTTTACATTTCTCTCCAAGGAAGTTACTTTTATAATCAAGGTGGTTGGGGGTGGGGAGGTCCTCTAATGAAGACAATTACCTTAATAGTCCCAAGATCCATGGGATATTTGATAATGTCATAGTAATCATGGAGTCCCAAACCCTGAACATCCACAGGCTTATAGAAGGGCCATGCATAGGCGAAGTGCTTCTCTGCATGCATTTCTTTGAGAATCTCCCTGCAGTGTTGTAATTGTTCCTTTAGTTTAGCGCTCTCTACAACGCGAGGCTGCTGCGGAGAATCGGGCAAAACGTTCTTCAGCACATTTCCTTTCACAGGCGGCAGTGGCCTCAGTTTTTTAGCTGCAAATGTGGGAGAAGGTTCCCCGTTTCCTTTAACTACTGGAGTTGTAGGAATTGTATCTACTTTCCTCTTCACACCCTTTGCAACCTAAAACAAAAAAATCGTTACGTTCAAGGCAAGACTTCGCAAACTTTTAAAAATATCATTAGCCTATAGGTTTTTTAAAAAAGTACCTAGTACGTGCACTGTTTTCTATTTAAAAACAAAACAAAATCCAAATCAATGGCCAAATCCGGATCATTGTGACCCTATAGGGCAGAGTGGTGTGTTAGGCGCCATCCCCAAGTTGGCTCCCACTGACAGCACCTCTGTGCCACAGAGGGTGTCGCTCTGCCTTGTGCCTTGTTTACTCAGCGCATCGGCACATTTACTGCAAAGGAGTTGTGTTGGATCGGAAAAGCACTAAGGTGTTCATGACTCAAGCCATGGTCTTTTCAACCGCCTCACATGCATGTGAACGTTGGGCACTGGACAATGAAGACGTAACCGATGCGCTTGAATTGTAGTGCTCATGAAGAATACTGAAAGCAGGATGGACTGCCAGAGGACAAACAAGTCAGTCCTGGGAAAAGCACAGCCAGAAAGCTCCTGAGAAGGATGGCAAGACTTCACCTCATATACTTTGGACGTGTTACCTGAAAAGACTAGTCCTTGGAAAGGGACCTCATGCTCGGTCAAGTAGAAGCACAGAAAAGAACAGACAAAGGGAGACTCTGGCTAGATGGCTTTACACGGTGGCGCTAACAATGGGTTCGAAGAACAATGGTGAGCATGGCCCAGGACCGGGCAGGCTGCTATGAGTCAGGTCCAACTGAACAGCACCTACCAGCGAGTTTCCCTAACTCTGCCCTTGGACAACTTCTGATAGCAATACTTCAGAGAGTATTAAAATAGTTGAAATGCTACGTAGGAACTCTCTAAAATGTGTCTAATATCCTGTGTCGTTATGAATCAACTGTGTAGAAGTAATTTGACAGAGATACAATATGATAAAATGTTGTATGCTGAATACAATTTAAAATATCGATTTAGAAGGAGTTATAAATATTACCACATCCACACTTACACTGGGGTTTTCAAGCACCAGTGGTTTTAAAGCCATAATAAACTTACTTGGGCCGCTGCCTGTGAGGCAGAACTCGGTAGCAATCCTTTGGTCCCGGCTAAGGGCGGGGCTAAGGGCGGGGCTGGCGTGCCCGCAGGTGCAGACGGCAGCGTTTGCTTCTGGAGCAATGTCTCTGGTACTTTCTGGAATGGTTTTTTCTGAACAGAAGAAACCACCGTATTCTTTTGTGTGCCTAATAAAATTTGAAACAGGGTTAAATATTCAAGTGAGTAAAACAGAGAGCAGACATTTCATCTCTTATTGTCCTATTTTAATTTATTTCAGTCAGGTTTTAGCAATATAAACATTGTAATATAGATTTCCATTCTTCTTTGACACGCCCCACACTGTTGATAAGAGTATGTTTTATACTGCTAGAGACTGCTAATTTACTTCTTGTAGAGATTTACAGGGGTTTTCTTTTTTTTGGTAATGAATACTTTTCATATAGTTTTGAGGATTTCAAATACATTATTAATAGCAGCCTCATTAATTTTATTTAAAAAGGTACTAATCTCATGCAAAGTTCTATGGCCAGTATCAGGTACCTGTGGAGCCCAGCCAACAATGTGGGCACTCTGGAAGACAAACTATTTAATAATATATGATATTTTCAGAATATTCTACATGTACACCCATAAACTTCAAAATTGATACAGATCAACCATCACTGGTTGTCACAAAACAACAGGTGCAAACTTGATTCTCAATATGTCCTTCACACAACTGTCACAGGACCAGTTCTGCCTTGTGTTTTCTCAGAGAATCTATGACTTGAGATATTTGGATTACATCACCTTAAAATCTTCTATTACTTAAAAAACCCTAGTCACATTCCATCCCCCTATCGAAGCATTCCACTCTTCTCTTCTAATTGTGAGGGCCCAACACTTCAGAGTACGCTTCGATGCTACGCTCTTCCAACCCTGTTGCTGTCTTCTGGTAGTGTAGGGCTACAATGTACACTGAAGTGACTTCATGGCCACAGAGGACAAAGATGCACACATCTCGTAGACAAACATTTTAGCTTACCTTTCTTCATTCTTTCATCACCTACGACGTGTTCTTCCTGTGGCATCTGAGATAACTTATACATAAACAACTTCTGTAGGGTTTGTGCCATTGAAACAACGTCATTTTCAGGCTAGAAAATACATGAAACACACCGTAAGGTTATACAATATGGTCACCGGATCGAATGTCTGTAGGAATGTCAGACTGCTCAGTAGGAGTGGCACGGTATCCTAGTTATAGCTGCATCAAAATTAAGTCTAGAAGATAATGAAGTGGCTCCTATCTTAAATTCTAGCAAGCCATTCAACGTCTAGAGATCTTGTATGCTTCTCTGAGCACAAACCAATTAATCCTACCACTGTGCGAAAATAACACAATGCAATGAAAACAATGCAGCAAATGCCCCAAATCAAGACTTGAAATCCAAAATCAGCATCTTCGTTTCTATTTTCTGTAGGCAATAGCAGATAATTAGCAATTATAACAAAAAGTTTGCTCACCTTGTTATATAAATAACAATTTGAGAACATTGTATTGAAGTCGTCTATACATTCTGAAGCCTTCAAATAATATTTATGCTCCAAACGCTTCTTAATTGTAGTTAAATCCATAGGATTTTTTATAATAGCATAATAGTCCTGTAATTTTGAAGAAGAAATTATGTTAGTAATAAAAATGAATACTGGGCCACAAAGAAAGCCACACATAGACCTGTCACTCTAGAAGACAATGTATAACTCTTAAAAAGCCATACTCCGGAAACCAAAACCTTCAGTAATGAGAAAAACAGAGCTTTTTGCCCCAGGATGACAAGGTCAAATAAGAAAGTACAGACACTCGTTTTTAAGTTTTTTACACAGATTCGGTGTGCATCCTGCTTTTGTTTGTCGACCTCACTCTTCCCCTGTGAGGTGATTTTGTAAGTGCCAACTTTGGGACAAAATGCACATATTTGTGTAAAACTATAGAATTACAATTCTTATAAACTATTAACATAAGAATGTCAATGTTCAGAAAAATAAACTGTTATTAGGAAAAAATACTCAACAGGATCGTTTTCTTTTACAGTGTTGAAAAAATTGGGAGGCGGCTAAATTAAAGGTCTTTTATATGATTAAAGACGGCTAGTTTATTTCTTGTAGAGGGGTACTGGGCTTTCCTTTTTCACTTACATAAGACACACTTACAGGCAGCCCCATTTTCACCGCATCTACAGGCTTCTGAAACGGCCAAGAAAGCCTGTGCTTCCACAGAGCAGGCAGGGCAACGTTTTGTAGAAACTGCAGTTGATTCGTCAAGCGCCCGTTCTTCTTAGGATCCATGTATGTTGGTGGAGGGGGGTTAACAAGAGCCGCTGTACAATTCCGTAGAGACATATTCGTAACTGCTTCAAATACTGCTGTTCTAGGGCCCACAAATAAATGTCCTGGAAAGAACAACACTTTTAAATGGCTGCTAAAAATGATGGCATTACTTTTTTAATGACAGTTAAATGGTATTCCTAAATATACGATGATTAAGGGGGCCCAAAAAGTGACAAGAATCAAACTTGGCAACACAAATCTTTGTGTATACAACCATTTAAGGATTCATTCTGCACACCTTCATTTGGGATGGGTTACATGGCTTAGAGCCTGTATAGTATTCCCTTCTGCTTTTCTAAAACACACATCAATCGAGGTCTTAAAACAAACAAGCCAATAACAGCGAGTGTGAAAAGCAATATTAATATATAGGCATTCTAGAGCTGAATAACTCAATGAAGGGAAAAAGTCAAAGCAATGGAGTTTTCTGGCTAATCAAGGCGGTTTTAGACCAATCAAGATTTGGTTTTAAACCTAATTCATTGGAAAGAAAAATGTCAAGTGTTAAAAATGCTATTCTTTAAAAAGCAAAACCCAACCCAACCCTCACGGCCATCAAGTTGATGCTGCTTGGCCGTGATGCTCTCTGGGGGAGGGCAGAACTCTCCCTGTGAGTTTCCCAGACTGTAACTGTGGATAGGAGGGGAAAGGCTAGTCTTTCGCCAGCAAACTGGCTGGGGGTTTTGAACTGCTGACCTTTAGGAGAGCAGCCCAACTTGCAAACACTGTTACCAGGGTACCGTTGGGGTATATTGTTACATCTAAAATAAAATACTTTCCCACTACTACACATCCATGACAGCCCAAGCCACCTGATGCTATACACTGAAAGACACAAAGATCAATGGGACAGAATGGAGAACCCAAGCCCGTTCACCTAGCGACAGCTTTTTTTCCCCACGGGGTAGACATGCGTTAATGAGGAAGAGAGTCTACTCATCCACGTTGACAAAACGGGATAATTCCTATTTGCTCAGTTATATCCTCTACCCAGAAACCTCCCTGCGAAAATACCCTCCGTGGCTCCCTTCCACTCAATCAGGGCTTACCCCTGGGCCCGCAAGCACCCTATGGATACCGATCTCATTTCTTAGCACAAGCTAGTGCCTCAAGGTCAGCCCACATCCGATTCTGCAGCGCTCACCCCGAGACCCAGACTCATAGTGACCCTGCAGCACAGGGTAGAACAACTCCTTTGGGTTTCCAAGAAAGCAAATCGTTTGGGAATGGGCAGCTTCATCTTTCTCTCGCGGTACAAAAAATCCGAGCAACTCTGCGGACAGAAAAGGAGGCTTTTCTGCTGGCTGGTGGGCTCAGTTTGCAGCTCACAGTGACACCAGAGCAACAACAGGGGGTTTTCGTGTTTCAAAGGCTTATTCATAAGGCTTGCTGCAAGATAAGTGAATCAAGGAATGGGACCTCCCTGTCCCAAATGATGCCACACAGAATAAAGGCAACAAAACCAGCTAAAAAGTTCTCTCGCAACCGCGAAACTGCGATTCGCTAATCCCAGACTTGTGAGGAAACGCAAATGCCTAGAACGTGTTTCAGGATGGAAGGAGACCACTGCAGGAGCACAGCCCCGGGGGCTTCCAAACCCTCTTCCCCATCTCCTTTCCACCCCTGCCACGCAGGAGGGGGAAAAAGCAAAGAAGGTGGTGGCAAACCCCAAACAAACAACAAAACATCCATCGAAGCTTCTGGATCCCAACCAGAGTTTGGGATTGGAAGGACCAAAGGAAAGACGAACAGCTTACCTAGGCTGCAGCTCCTCCTCCGATGGCGCCCCTCAAGTGCCCTGCTCTCCGGGCTCCAGGAATTGATGGAATACCAAGGTGAGACCGGCAAGGTAACTGCTGTTCACGCTGCCTGTCGTTCCCGCTCTCACCAGAGTGGTGGCATCGGTGGCTGTGACACTTTTATAGGTGAACGACTCCTGGCTCCGCCCATTGGTTTGAGCCTATCGCGCGGCAGCTCCTCCCCTGTAGCCTGAAAGGGTGTGTCCGTCGAGAGATGGCTGGAGGGCAGGGTGGAGGGTAGGAGGAGAAGGTATCTTCACTTAATCCATTCACCCTTTGTTGCTATTTGGGGGCTTCTGGTTTCTCTTTCAGATGTTACTCCATTCTCCCTACCACTTTTCAATTCTTACACATAGTAGGTGCTTAGTAAATACTAGGTAGCAGCGGAAGCTAGAGCCAACATGATTTCACTGCGTGAGAATGCTACTTAGCTCTTTCACAGCAGCTGCAGGAGGAGTGCTGGAGGATTGAGAGCCTTGGTAAAACTCCCTAGGAACCTGGAGGGGCAATGGTTACCATACTGTGCTGTTAAATGAGAGGTTCATGCATTGAAACTACTAGAAGCTCTGGAAAGAATGCCCAGAGTCACTCCACCAATAAGAATTAGTCAACATTTTCTCACATCAGAAGGCAGCATGTAAGAACCAAGGGTGCTGAAGGAAGACGGTCAAACTGCACTGAATGGATTAGCCACGACCAAGCCTCCAGGCATTGATGGAACACCAACTGAAATGTTTCAATAAGCTGAAGAAGCACTGGAAGCACTCACTAGTCTAAGGCAGGGAAATTGGAAGACAGCTACTTGGCCAACTGACTGGAAGAGATCCATATTTGTGCTCATTCCAAAGAAAGGTGACCCAACAGAATGCTCAAATTGTAGAACGATATCATTGACATCGCACACAAGTAAAATTTTACTAAAGATCAGCCAACAACGGTTGCAGCAGTACATTGACCAAGAAGTGCCAGAATTGGAGGCCGATTCAGAAGAAGGCATGGAGCAAGGGGTATCACTGCTGATGTCCGATGGGTCTGGACTCAAAGTAGAAAATACCCAAAAGGTATTTCCTTGTGCTTCATTAGACTAGGTGGACCATAAACTGGATCGCCTTGAGAAGAATGGAAATTCCACAGCACTTCATTGTGCTCACGAGGAACTTGTACATGGATCCGAAGCACTCGTGTGAATAGGATAAGGGCATATTGCATTGGGGAAATCTGCACAGGATCTCTTTCGAGGACTGAAGAGGAAATGAGTTGGCACAGTGGCTGCATCAGTGGGCTCGGGCATGGGAACAATTGTGAAGATGGCACAGGACCCTGCGTGTTTGGTTCTGCTGTGCGGAGGACTACTGTGGGTTGTAGCCAACTGGATGGCACCTAACAAGGGCAACAACAGCTCTGGAAGAGAAAAATGAGGCTGTTTTGACGAAGAGGTGTAGCCTTGAAAACCCTCGGGGGACCGTTCTGCTATGGCCTGTGGGGTCTCCAGGCGGGGGAATCGACCACAAACACGTTTGGTTTTGTTGTGGCTAGCTCCTATGGTTTCTGGGTATTTTTAAGGTGTTAACATCTATTAATGGGGTCCGGGTGGAGGAATAGGCCCCAGGGTCAGCGGTACCAAACTCGGAGCAGCTCTGAAGGAGAACACTGAGACTTTCTGCTCCTGTAAAGATGTGCTGCCTGGAGTCCTTCCACTCTGTTAGAGAGGGTCGTCTGCACTGAAATGTACTTGATGGGGGCGAGTTTGTGTGTTAGCAGATATTAGAAGAAAGTGTTTACACCAGTAATTGCTTTTAGGAGCCAATGGCAAACACTGTTTCTAAGTTATGGGTGGGTGGATAGAATACAAGAGACGCTGGAGGGGGGTGGGGGAGCAGAAGAAACTGATGCATTGCTACAGAAAACATTCAAAGTGCAGTTTCCTGTGGTGTAAGTCCTGAGATCATTAGAACCAAATATTGTTAGGTGGGCAACAGCTAGAGCAGCAGATCTCTTTTTAATTACCAAGATTCCTGAACTCAAATTACTTGGGCTATAGCAAAAATTTTAAAAAACAAACAAAAAAAAACAAAAAAACTTCATCAGTAGCCATCCTGGCAATCTTTTATTTCCAAATAACCTGATGATCAAGAATTTTGTGGAAGAGTCAATTTAATAGTGTAGGCTTTGTTTAGGTTTGGTTTTTGTGCTCTGGGTTTGCAGTTGAAAATGGCATGGGGCCTGGGAGAAGTGGGTGGACTCGGACCCCGGATGTGACTGGACTGCCCCAAGGGGGACATCAAGGGAAGTCAAAGCCAGGAATGACTCTTACCGCTCCTGTCAACTTTTTGGTTCACTTCCGGAGACTAGTAGAAGAACACTCCCCACCAGAAACCTGGATAATCTTTCTGAAAGCAAAATCTCATCATGTTAAAACCCGCACTGCCATCAAATTGCTTCAGCTCATAGGGAACCTATACGAAAGCCTCTAGGAGACGCCTGTGGGTTTCTGAGGATATATATATAGATATAGATAGATATATGGATATAGATAGATATAGATATAGATATATGGATGGGGCCTGGGTGATGTAGTGGTTAAGCGCTGGGCTGCTATCTGCATGGTGGACAGTTCAAACCCACCAGCAGCTCCTCTGGAGAAAGACGGGTGTTCTATTCTCGTAAACAGTTACAGTCTCAGAAACCCACACAGCTCCCTATAAATCAGCATTGACTCCCATGGCTGTGAGTGAACTGGCAGTGGAGGAGAAAGCTTTGTCATTCTCCTGACAAGCAGCTGGTGCTTTCTAACCTCCCCTCTTGCAGTTAGCAGCCCACCTTGTAAACCACCTGGGATCCTTGTGTTAATACCCTCAAACCTTCCATTACATTCCATTCTTGTGTTAATACCCTTCAATTTGGGTCCATTCTTTCATGATAAAGATCAAATCCCTTAAGCTACAACACTCTGATTTATCTACCTTCTGCTTCCTTTAGATAAACTCCCAACAGGGTCCTTATCTCCAACGCACTGGCTTTTCCTCTTCCTTTCTTTTTCCCACCTCTGTACTTCTTACTTGGGTATCATACGAAATCAGTGGTTCTCAACCTGTGGGTCGCGACCCCTATGGGGGTCAAATGACCCTTTCACAGGGGTTGCCTAAGACCATCAGAAAACAGGTATTTCCGATGGCCTTAGGAACCGAGACACAGCTCCTCTATCTGTCCACA